AATCCCCGGCGAAAAACGCGTACTGGTTAGACTCGCAGCAGGCCTAGTTGTTGTTAATAATGTTATGTGCCCTCAAGTCGGACCCGACTCATAACGCCCCCTCCTTGGGTTTCTGAGGCTGTATCACTACGGAAGTAGATTGTTCCATCTTTCTTCCCAGGTGGCTGGTGAGTTTGAACCACCAACCTTCTGGTTAGCAGTCAAGTGCCTTAAGCACTACGCTACCAGAGCTCCCAGCCGGCCTAGTATAGCCAGGGATTATTGGTATTTTTTAAACTAGCGGGGCTGCCGGAGTCACTCTAAAGATTCAAATTCTTTAGGGATGCACTGTGACTGAATCGACATCTTTACCTTGGATAGCGGTGGTTTTTGATGCTCTTGGTGCCCGAATCTCGCTTTGAACTGGCGCTTCTCTACTGAGGAGAAACCACCTTGCCTTGCAATATGAGGCTGAAAAAGATTAAGACGCACTTTTACTCGGTACCGAATTAAGGGGGAAGGAAATTGAAATCAATTTACAGCCTTTATTTGGGCCCACCTGGCTCCTCCTAATCCCACCGTCAGAAAATTATATTCTATAATTACTATGGGATCTTCTTCCTAGAAAGGAAAGCATTTTAATTTTTTTCCCCAAGATCTGATAAACTGGTTTAAATTTTACCTTAAAACCATCTGCCCACCTGCTAACTAAGATCTTAATGATGACTTTAAATGGCCTAAAGTCAGGAAAAAAGGGAGTTGGGAATGAAATACCGTGTGTATCACAAAATAACTAAATATGATTTTAACATACTTTCTTATGGTCACAGCCATATTAAACCTTTTTCCTATTCTCTGGGTAACCATGAGCCAAAATAATTGCCTTCCCATCAGATTTACTCCTGGACAGCATAATTTTTTGAGCTGATAAATTCAACATAAAAGTCTATTACACTTTTAAAGGAGCTCTGGTGGCACAGAGGTTAAGCAATTGGCTGCTAACCAAAAGGTCAGCAGTTAAATCCACCAGCCGCTCAGCAGGAGAAAGATGAGGCAGTCGGCTTTCCTAAACGTTTACAGCCTTGGAAACCCTATGGGGCAGTTCTGCTCTGTCCTACAAGCTCCTTGAGTCAAACAAGACTTGACAACAATGGGTTTACTCCCATCTGTAACGCCATTTTCTTTCTAGCCCAACATTATTCCCTTGGTTGGTTACTTGAGTCCTCCACTGTTACTTGGTTTAAGCTTGCCCAGTTCTATTTCTTCTCTTAGCCTAGGCCCAATTTAAGAACATAGGTGAAATAATTTGGGAGTTAGCCATATTACTTAATAGAAACTTTAAGCCTGTCCATGATCAGGAACCTGCCAAACTTTCACCAGTACCTTACTCCAAAATTACTAACTGGTAAAAGCGAACTTTTCAGTGTCCCATATTAAAAAAAAAAAAAGAGAAAGAGAAAGAAATACTGCCATCAAATTGTTTCCAACTCATAGTGACCCCTATTGGGTTTCCAAGGCAGTAAATCTTTATGGAAGTAGATTGCCTCATCTTTGTTCCACAGAGTAGCTGGTGAGTTTGAACCACCAACTTTCTGGTTAGCAGTCAAATGCCTTAGGCACTGCACCATCAGGCCTTTCAAGACTTTGTTCGTGCTGTTCCCTCTCTCCCCTACATCATGTATAAAATCTTTTCTATTGTATAATGTGTTCTGACTTTTAATTAGCCAGGTTGTTTTACATGATCCAGCTAGAAAACTGGGACTGCTTGATGTGATTCTAGAAGTCCTTAAGATTTCCTAAATAGAATTCAAGGTTGAGGATGGGCACCTTTTAACAATTCTCCATACTCTTTACAGAGCCCTAAACCTCGGAAGGAAGGTTGGGCAATCCTACTTCCGTAGTGATACTGCCTCAGAAACCCAAGGAGGGGTCGCTATGAGTCGGGGCCGACTCCACGGCACAAAACAACAACAACAACAAACCAATGATTACAGAAAGCTAAAAAAAAAAAAGCTGCCTTGGAGTCATCTCTGACTCAAGGAGACCGCATGTGTGTCACAGTAAAATTGTGCTTCGTAGGGTTTTCAATGACTGATTTTTTGAAAGTAGTTCGACAGACCTGACTTTTGAGGCATCTCTTGGTTGGAGTGTAATGTCCAACTTTTCAGTTAGCAGTCAAGCATTTGCACCATCCAGGGAAACGCAGCACGTATTCTGTAACTATTGACTGATCAACATAAAAAGAGTTTCCAGCCAGAAATGTATTCTAAGAGGTGGTCTTCATAAACTAAAAGAACTTGAAAAGCCTCAGTGTTGAGATTTCAGGCAACAGCCCAGGTCTCTTGGGGGAATTTATATATTATATATATATATAATATATATATATATATATATTCCCCCCCCCACTGGCCTAAATCATTACCACCTGCCCTCGTATGCCACACCACCACCACCCACTCCGACTTCATCCATTGAACTAATCAGGTACTGCTGAAGAGCAGGATTTCTATTCAGAGCCATTCCTAATGTACTTCTGAGCTTTCAACCATGGGGCCAAGCTGATTCTCATTATCTCCCCAATTTCTCACTCATCACTATACCATTCCATGGGCTTCAAACCAAACTAACAAGCGAAACCTTTAACTCGGAACTCCAAGCAGCGGCGCTTTAAACTGCACATCCAGAAAAAACAATTTTCTACTAGAAGTGGCTTCCAAATGCTGCGAGATTGAGAACACGACAGTAGTCTAGGAACATGCGCAGTATGGGCGAAAGCGCCTGGAAGTCCTCCAAAATCCCACAATCCTCTCGACACCTATTTCCGGTTTGTGTAACGCTGGCGTTATTGGTGTTTCTGTTAGTCGCACAGCTGAGTCCCGTGGCTCTAGGTGGGAAATAATTTTGTTGTTGTTCATTGACGCTGTCCGTGTTCACTGTTTGGAATCGGTTAAGTTTAAGGAGTCACCGCTGCTGCCATCAACATGTCGGTCCCAAGCGCACTCATGAAACAACCGCCTATTCAGTCTACGGCTGGGGCCGTCCCGGTTCGCAATGAAAAAGGTACTGTGTTGAGCCTCTTTGCAATAATATCTTACCTCTTCCTGCCCGCAACAGCTTCCACATATATCCCTGGTGTATCATGCCAACCACCTCCTCCTACCCTTAGGACCTGGTCCCCGGTTTCTTCAGCCTTCCCACCCTAAACTCACCCAACTGCGTTGCCTAGGGGAAGGAGTTTGATTTTGTTCCTGTGACCTATCTACTCACACACAGCCTCCTACTTCCCAAGACTTCCACCCGTTCGTTAGGCATATATATTGAGAGCCTGCTCTTTGCAGGGCGTTGTGCGGTATACAGTTCTCTTGTTCTCCATAGCAATAGCGTTAAGTTTTTATAACTCATCACTATAGTTACTTATGTATCTATCATTCTCTGCTTTTAAGTTCCTTAAGGCAGGAACCATGTTTTATTCTACTTTTTAATACCTTTCTACAAACGCAGTGACTGTTCGTTAAAGTGAATACAGTAGTGTGTAAGACAGTGCCCCCAACCAGAAAAAAACATAACAAACCCACTGTCTTCTAGTCTGAGCTTTCAACCATATGGGCAAGCCGATCCTCATTATCTCCCCAGTTTCTGCCTTCTAGTCCATTGAGGCTCCCGTAGAGTTTACAAGGCAGTATATCTTTACAGAAGCAGACTGCCTCATCTTTCTCCCATGAAGGGTGAGTTGGAACCTCCCAGTGTTTTGCTTAGCAGCCTAGTGCCTTAACTACAACATCACCAGAGCTCCTTCTCCTAATAAGGAACTTATATTCTAGTTCTGTTCTAGATGCAAGACATGCAAAAAGGGCACCTTTTCAGCAGTGTATATATGATCTTTCATCCTGTGATACTTGTCATATAGGTGGTATAAACCAAGCGATGTAGGAAGGCACCAGAGAGATCACTTCACGTTAGGGTAATCATGAAAGCTTTTTGAAGAAGGTGGCATTTAAATTAAGCCTTAAAGAATGAGGATTTCAATGAGTGCAGATGGAAGATAGAACAACATACCTTTACGGAGTCAGAGTTGGAAAACAGTACCAACTATTTTTGTTTTAAAAAATATACTACTCCTCAAACATAGATATACGGGTGGTTAGATGGGTAGACAGGCTGAACTATTAGGTATGTCTGTGCAGGGGGGAGTGTGCCCAAGACCACGTGTGGGGTTGGCAGACAATGTTTCTACCAGTTTATTGGTATGTTCTGTAAGAATTCCTAGTTAGACTGTAAAATGGTACAACCATTGTGGAAAGCAGTATGGCGATTCCTTAAAAAGTTGGAAATACAAATACCATTTCACCCAGCCATCCCATTACTAGGTATATACCCTAAAGAAGTGAGAGCCATAACAAGAACAGATATATGCACGCCGATG